TTTTTTTTTTTAGTGGTAGCAACTAATAGGTAATCCAATTTATCTGGGGCTTGGAGGAAAGGTGAAGAGATACTGAGAACTGAGGGACAGTGGGTACAAGTGAGGGGAAGGGAGTTTCCAAGTAGAAGGAATTATATGTGTAAAGTTGCTGAGGCTTCAAGACACATTTAAAATGTAAGGGTGAATGAGCACAGAAAGCAAAGGAGAAACGGACCAAGGGCCAGAGTCAAGGCCCGGAATGCCGGATTAATTCTGCCTTAATCCTAAAAACAAAGGTTAACTATCGAAGGGTTATTAATGAAGGAAGTGAGGTGGTTGGATTTGTGTTTGTGAAAGATCAGTTAAAGTGGACAAAAAGCAAAAGCAGCGGGCCCCATTGAGCCTGTTTCAGGCTGAATATAATAATCCCTTAGCGGGTAACAGTGTCCTGAACGCCTCTTGTCCTACTGTCTCCAGGCTCCGTCACTACATTTCAGCCACTTTGTCTTCTTTTCGGTTCTTTCAAAAGGTTCCTGGGGTAATTGGTTTAAAGCCGAGTGTTACTGAACAAATCGGACCAGATGAGTCCTGCAAAATTTGTCTCCCTACAACTTTCCTCGTCCCGGCTCCATCCCTGGAGAGCCTCCAGACAAAGCAGCTCCCGCACCTACCACGCTCGCCACGGCCCCGGCCCTGCCCCACACTTACATGAACACGTCCCCATCCACGTCCCCGGCCGCCAGGAGATCTCGGGCAGGATGGAAGGCCAGCCCACTGGCAGGGGCTTCCAGCACGATGTCTTCCGGGGTGTCCCGGATACGGGCCGGGGCTTCCAAGGAGTCGGGATCCTCCTCGTCGCTCCCATCTTCCACGGGCTTCTCCTCACACGTGCGGTCCATGCACTGGAGGATTTCGCGCCCAGCAGTAGTTGGGCAGTAAGCCCAGAAACGAAACACACAGCGATAGTAGTGGCCCAGGGAACCTACTCCAACTCGGGAGAAGGGGGACCGGAAGTGACGCCAAGGCGTTCTCCAAAACCGGAAAAGGCGGCACCGGCTGCAGAAGATACAGGTGGAGTGTGGTCCCGAGGCCCGCCCCCAAGACCGGCTGCTTACTGTGTTGCATGGTCTCTTCCAGCTAGACTGAGCTACCGACAATCTCCTCCTTGGTTCCTTCACATAGAATTGGGAACTCGTTTAATCCTTTCTCCTCGTCCTGACCGAGTTCGACAGTTTGGTACTCCCTCCGCCAACAGTAAGGAGGATTTTATGCCTTCGGGATGCGAGAGGGGACACCAGTCTTTCTCGGCTTGGTGAAACCCAAGAGTATGACAAGCGGCAGCCAGGTTGGTCAGGAAACCGCAAAAGCACACGCAAGAGAATTTGACATGAGGCGGAAGTGGACAGCAGGCACCCGCTCACATGCTGCTACCCTCCATGCTAATTACAGATTCGTGTCCAGAGAATAGCGTCCTGCCTGATCCAACAGCTTAACTTAGTGGTCTGGGCTATCAATGCTCAGAGATGGCAAGGATTTGTTGAAGAGGAAAAAGGGCACAACAGTTCACATTCTGGACATTCCAGTTACCAAAGGTTCTGCAAGGATGGGGGCACCCTGTATGGTAGGGCGGATAAGGGGTAGGAGCCCCTGCAGTTGAAGAGAACCTTCTCATACTGCTGTGGTACTAAGCCTTCTAAGACATCTTTATATGCTCATGTGCAAGCCTCGTAGTGAGAAGTGAAAAGTGAGGTTAAGGATCTCAAAGAGGCTACAGGTCTCCCGTGTGATTGGAGAAGTTGCTGTTTGGTGTTAGGAATCCTTTGTGGCCAACCAGAGGGCTTGTCACTTCCACAAGGCTTGGTAGTACCAGCAGAAAGTGATTTTAAACTGGCAGTAAATCCCCAGGTCTTAATCTTAGGGACCCTCCAGAGGTATCTAATTTGAGCAAGGTCTCTGTGACCTTTTTCCTAATTGGGACCTCTCCCTACAATCATGAAACCATCAAAGTGTTTTAAATTAGCCATTCTAGGTGCTACTGCAGACAGCACTTAACTTCAGCCTCCTGGGTGCTATGCACAAAGCTGGCTTCCTCAAAAAGTCCTTGCCCTATCAAGGTGAAAGTGACCAAAGGCCAGACAACCGATAAGGTAGCCTAGCTTTCCTTGGATCTGGTGAGCCCACAGATCTTAACTAGGCTCAAGGCAGGCAGTGGCAGCTGGATAGCCAGTCAGAAAGTGGTGACCCTTACTGATAAGTACTAGCTACTGACAATAAGCAGAGAGGAGGGAAAGGGTGGGTATGGGGTGGTTCAGACATCAGAGAACCTAGCCTGAGCCTTAACAGTTTCCAGGGTATTTAAGGGTATCAAACCCTTCTGGCCTAGGACTGGGCTTCCCCAAGGTTACCTCTTCAGCCAGGGAAGCAGTGATTTGTGTTTGGGATTACTAAAGCTCCCTGGAGGGCACAAACTCAAAAGGTTTTTGTTCCCACAAGCAAATATCATCAGTTGCCTTTACTTAAAGCCCAGTCCTGCACAATCTTGAAATCAGATTGGCAGCCCAGTAGGCTGACCCCTAATTGCCAGAGAAACCCTGCCCCAAGAGTAGGCCCCAAAGGGGCTTGAATGGGTCTGACATGTAAGACCAATAATCCTTATGTCCTTTTATCCATGTCTTGCCAGCAATCAGGGTCATTCTTCCCTTCCCTTCCTCTGTCTAGGATCTAGAACTACAGTTCAGTGAAGAACTGAGCTTTCTTCTGATTTTTATACAATCAAGGAATTAGTAGCCCTCTTCATACTTCTGGGGACCTCGTGGGAGGATGCTCAACACAGAGAAGACAGCAGGTTAACCAATTTTAATGGTACCAAATGACAATACAATAAAATTTTATATACATTCACAAAAAAACCACTCTCCAACGTTTCTGGAAATTACAGAAAACAAGCAGTGGAGAGCACATCCTTGTGGAGATTCTCCTTGGAGTTCGAACTGGAGATCAGTATTTTGGTCTTTTCACTTCAACCCTGAAATGGAAGGAGAAATAGTCAGTATGATCAATACTCGAAACAAATCCCACCAGTGCCACAGAAGAACATGCTGCTCACCCATCAGCCTCCATCTTTTTCCTCTTCTCAATGATCTGCAAAAAGCACAGTTATAGCCCACAGTTATCCTTCTAGTCCAAGGCAAAAACTGACCTCTCCCACTTTCACGGCTCTCTAAACCCCTGCCTGTTCCTGGATCTGAGGGCCAGTGTCACCTCCCAGCTGAAGCCCTCCCACGCAAGAGGCAGCCCCACTTACTGCACTAATCTTTTTCCATTGGCGATCAAGCTCTGCCTTGTCATTGGTTTCCTTGAAGCGCCTGGTTTTCCGCCCTTCTGACATTTTGATGCCATACTGGAATGCAGCCCTAAGGGGAAATAAGGGCAGTTGGGAGAAGACATTAGAAGTTGCATGGCTACGGCAAGGTATTTCGAGAGGGCCCTGCATCAGAAAACCTATTTGGGAATGTCTCAGGGACTAACACCCTCCAACCTGGTATGGGCTAGCCCAACCCATCCCTCTCCTACTCCTTGTCTGTATTTAACACTGACTCACTTGGGCAAAGCCTCTTTGTTGTTCATGTATTCGCTGTATTCCTCCTGGGTATCAAAGTCCCAGCGGCCTAAGGGGCCCTTCTTGTTACCCTGTTGCAGAACAGAAGTGGGGAAAAGGCAAGGTAGAGACGTCAGTGGAAATGGAATTTAGCCCTTGAATAAAGCCATGCTTTCATACAATTCCATTTCATCATTCATAAATCCTACCCTAATGAATAATAAATGCTTACTATGTACTTACTCTGTGCCAGCACTACTTTAAACACTAAATACATACTTAATTCTCTCAAAACCCCATTGAGAACTATACTTCTCTCCATTTCCTGATGAGGAAACTGAGGCATAAGCAGTAAAGTTGGCAAGGTCACAAAACTAAGAAATGGTAGAGCCAGGGTAAGGTTCCAAGATGGAATTAAACCATGCACTTAGCCACTGAAGTACACAGAGAACAAGGAAAAAGTAGATGAAATTTTTTCACCATTAATGCTGTTAAGTATTTGTTGGGGTATTTTTGTTTCTGCTTTAAGACTTAAAGGAAAAAGTTCAATCCTGGCTAGAATAAAATTCAGTTATTTTCTAAAGACTAAAATTCTTTGTGCTCTTTTGCTTATGCACTAAAGGCTTTCTTAATACCTAGGATGAAAATCAAAGCCTGGTACTTTGTAGGAAAAAAAATTTTTTTGACCCTTTCTTATTTGATTTTGTATAGACACTTTAAAACAGTTGAGCTGCCCATGACTCCACAAAGCTGCTACTTCCACTGCTGCAGCTGAGGGAAGGTGAGGCCCAGTAAATGAGACACAGATCTGTTGGGAGTGAGAATAGGATATGTGCTAAAGAGTAACCTCCCAAGAGCCCCCACCCATCCTTCCATCTCCACACCTGGTCCATTTTGCTGTAATCCACCTCCTCGTCACTGTCTACAGCCATATCATCCATCCTAAAGAAAACAAACAGTTAAACAGATGCTTTATCCAGAAATTGCCCAACTTAGAGGCTAGGAATATACCTAGGAATGACCATCCCCCTAGACCTCCCACTTAGGGCCTAATAGTTTGAAGTAGGAAGGGCCCCTAAGAACTCAGGAGATCAAATTTCTACCACACCTCCCCTCCCCCAACTTGTTGTCCCATCACCCCTGCCTCCCTTCTTTAACAGTCTCACATACGTGGCTGGGTAGCACTCAGCATAACTGTTGGACATGCCAAAGAAATCTCCCAGCTGCTTCTTATCCTCTGGCTTCTTCAGCGTACGCTATGTTAAAGAAAACAATTCTACCCATAGCAGAGAAGTGTCAAGCAGGAAGAGCGCGGGGCTGGAACCTCCGACATGAAAACTAAAGAGGGCTGTGAACTTGAATGGGTCCTCGAGAAACTGAAGGTCATAATAACATCCTTTCTGTCCAAATATAACAGAGAAGGGTGGGTGGAATTGGTGTGGGGGTGTGGGGAAGCAGGGAGGCAGGTGGAGTTGGAATGAAAAGAGAGCAGCAGTTCTCCAGAACCCAGTAACATATTGAAATAAAGGATATGACTCAGTGCCTTCCCAGCCAGTAGACCCAGCAAACTTTTCATTGATTGACTTGATCAATTCCTTGGCAGACCCAGGTCCTGGGAAAAAGAGAACTCAGTTCACACTGAAACAGGTATTTACAACCTCTTCCCACAACATACTTGCAACCTGTGGCTTTCATAAAAATATTTTTTTCAGCAACAGAGCCCTTTCAGCTAACAAAATTTTTTAATTCCAACGAATGAGCTACTCTGGTTGAATAGGGTAGTGTACCCAGAATATGCCCACTCAACCTGCCTCACATCCTCAGAGCCCCACAGATGACAGAAACTCCGGACTCATCATCTGTCTATTCCATTAAGCAAGACATGTACAGATCTTGTGAGAACCCAGATTCAGGAAGTTCCCAACCCCACCCTTGCCAGCTCTGAGGTCTAGGTCAGACTCTCAGCCAAGAGGAAAGCTGCCAGAGCCAGTGCAAGATGCCTTGGCTACAACCCACCTTTGTCGACATCCATGGGCTGGAAAGAAAACAGAAATTGAAGTGAGTGTTACCATGAGGGATTTCTATTCGTCCCTCCAAGTCTGAATCAATTTCCCACCCCACCTTGCTCCCATATTCCAGGACGGTTCCTACCCAGCTGCTGCTATGGAAGCCATGAGATGCCTGTGTAACAGAGACCCTGTACCTGGCTCGGCAGGCACAGAGATGGGCAGCTCCACCATGTGGTACCAGGAGCCACATCTCACCTCATCATCCACTTTTGGCTTCTCAAAGTAGCTGTGCCTCTTTTTCTCTTCTTCTCTCTCCCGCTCCCGCTCTCGCTCCCGCTCTCTGTCACGGTCCCTGTCTCTCTCCCGATCACGCTCCCGTTCCCGGTATCTCTCCCGCTCCTTGTCCCGAGGCATCTTGGTGGTGGAGGGCACATAATCCCCAATGTCTTCGAATATACTAGGAAAACAGAGACGGCTAGCTGCCAACCACGTCCCTGGTCATTTCTCCAGATTCTTACACCAAGGCCTCCCCAAAATGCCCAAGGAAAGAAACATAGAGCCCCTTCCTTCCCCAAACCAGATGACAGGGGCTAGGATACATACTTCATGTCAGCCTCAGGGGGTTTCTTCTCCTCCAGCTTCCCTAAAAAGTAAAGAGAGGAGTGAGAAAAACACTCCTGAGTTCATTTCGCTCAGCCTCCCCATGTGCTCCAGCTCTCACTCTGCTTGGAAGGTGGAACAACAAAGGCTACCCATACTATCCCTCCCCAGGCCTCACAGCTGACGCACTGCTTTGAGTAGGTCAAGCAGACAGAAACCGGATGTGCCCATCCCTTTGCCAGTGCTCCACTGCTCCCATTTTTCTCTGCTCCCCAGGAGCCTCCCGGTGTTCTGGAGACAAAAAGCTCCAGGAGACCTTGGTTCCATCCTCACATGCCCTTCCAGGGTTAAGGTTTCTCTCCCTAACCCTCCTGGTTACCTTTATCCTTTTTCTTGAGCTTCTTGTTGCGGGTACCCTGCCTCAGGTAGGAAAGGATCTGGGTGAGCTTGCTGATGACAATGTCATTTGTGGTCAGTGTGGTCTGGGCCTGAAAACCACAGGTAGCAAGAATGTCATCTCACAGAGCAAGAATATCTTCATTCATTCACTTAACAAATAAGAGTTAGAATTAACCAGATGAAAACAGGGAAAGGTTTTGTGGAAGGCCATTCCTGAGAGATTAAACAGCACTAAGGGTCAAAAGTGAATCTAGCACATTCAAGCAAGCCTGGATTTAGATGAAATTTTTTCACCATTAATGCTGTTAAGTATTTGTTGGGGTATTTTTGTTTCTGCTTTAAGACTTAAAGGAAAAAGTTCAATCCTGGCTAGAATAAAATTCAGTTATTTTCTAAAGACTAAAATTCTTTGTGCTCTTTTGCTTATGCACTAAAGGCTTTCTTAATACCTAGGATGAAAATCAAAGCCTGGTACTTTGTAGGAAAAAAAATTTTTTTGACCCTTTCTTATTTGATTTTGTATAGACACTTTAAAACAGTTGAGCTGCCCATGACTCCACAAAGCTGCTACTTCCACTGCTGCAGCTGAGGGAAGGTGAGGCCCAGTAAATGAGACACAGATCTGTTGGGAGTGAGAATAGGATATGTGCTAAAGAGTAACCTCCCAAGAGCCCCCACCCATCCTTCCATCTCCACACCTGGTCCATTTTGCTGTAATCCACCTCCTCATCACTGTCTACAGCCATATCATCCATCCTAAAGAAAACAAACAGTTAAACAGATGCTTTATCCAGAAATTGCCCAACTTAGAGGCTAGGAATATAACTAGGAATGACCATCCCCCTAGACCTCCCACTTAGGGCCTAATAGTTTGAAGTAGGAAGGGCCCCTAAGAACTCAGGAGATCAAATTTCTACCACACCTCCCCTCCCCCAACTTGTTGTCCCATCACCCCTGCCTCCCTTCTTTAACAGTCTCACATACGTGGCTGGGTAGCACTCAGCATAACTGTTGGACATGCCAAAGAAATCTCCCAGCTGCTTCTTATCCTCTGGCTTCTTCAGCGTACGCTATGTTAAAGAAAACAATTCTACCCATAGCAGAGAAGTGTCAAGCAGGAAGAGCGCGGGGCTGGAACCTCCGACATGAAAACTAAAGAGGGCTGTGAACTTGAATGGGTCCTCGAGAAACTGAAGGTCACAATAACATCGTGTCTGTCCAAATATAACAGAGAAGGGTGGGTGGAATTGGTGTGGGGGTGTGGGGAAGCAGGGAGGCAGGTGGAGTTGGAATGAAAAGAGAGCAGCAGTTCTCCAGAACCCAGTAACATATTGAAATAAAGGATATGACTCAGTGCCTTCCCAGCCAGTAGACCCAGCAAACTTTTCATTGATTGACTTGATCAATTCCTTGGCAGACCCAGGTCCTGGGAAAAAGAGAACTCAGTTCACACTGAAACAGGTATTTACAACCTCTTCCCACAACATACTTGCAACCTGTGGCTTTCATAAAAATATTTTTTTCAGCAACAGAGCCCTTTCAGCTAACAAAATTTTTTAATTCCAACGAATGAGCTACTCTGGTTGAATAGGGTAGTGTACCCAGAATATGCCCACTCAACCTGCCTCACATCCTCAGAGCCCCACAGATGACAGAAACTCCGGACTCATCATCTGTCTATTCCATTAAGCAAGACATGTACAGATCTTGTGAGAACCCAGATTCAGGAAGTTCCCAACCCCACCCTTGCCAGCTCTGAGGTCTAGGTCAGACTCTCAGCCAAGAGGAAAGCTGCCAGAGCCAGTGCAAGATGCCTTGGCTACAACCCACCTTTGTCGACATCCATGGGCTGGAAAGAAAACAGAAATTGAAGTGAGTGTTACCATGAGGGATTTCTATTCGTCCCTCCAAGTCTGAATCAATTTCCCACCCCACCTTGCTCCCATATTCCAGGACGGTTCCTACCCAGCTGCTGCTATGGAAGCCATGAGATGCCTGTGTAACAGAGACCCTGTACCTGGCTCGGCAGGCACAGAGATGGGCAGCTCCACCATGTGGTACCAGAAGCCACATCTCACCTCATCATCCACTTTTGGCTTCTCAAAGTAGCTGTGCCTCTTTTTCTCTTCTTCTCTCTCCCGCTCCCGCTCTCGCTCCCGCTCTCTGTCACGGTCCCTGTCTCTCTCCCGATCACGCTCCCGTTCCCGGTATCTCTCCCGCTCCTTGTCCCGAGGCATCTTGGTGGTGGAGGGCACATAATCCCCAATGTCTTCGAATATACTAGGAAAACAGAGACGGCTAGCTGCCAACCACGTCCCTGGTCATTTCTCCAGATTCTTACACCAAGGCCTCCCCAAAATGCCCAAGGAAAGAAACATAGAGCCCCTTCCTTCCCCAAACCAGATGACAGGGGCTAGGATACATACTTCATGTCAGCCTCAGGGGGTTTCTTCTCCTCCAGCTTCCCTAAAAAGTAAAGAGAGGAGTGAGAAAAACACTCCTGAGTTCATTTCGCTCAGCCTCCCCATGTGCTCCAGCTCTCACTCTGCTTGGAAGGTGGAACAACAAAGGCTACCCATACTATCCCTCCCCAGGCCTCACAGCTGACGCACTGCTTTGAGTAGGTCAAGCAGACAGAAACCGGATGTGCCCATCCCTTTGCCAGTGCTCCACTGCTCCCATTTTTCTCTGCTCCCCAGGAGCCTCCCGGTGTTCTGGAGACAAAAAGCTCCAGGAGACCTTGGTTCCATCCTCACATGCCCTTCCAGGGTTAAGGTTTCTCTCCCTAACCCTCCTGGTTACCTTTATCCTTTTTCTTGAGCTTCTTGTTGCGGGTACCCTGCCTCAGGTAGGAAAGGATCTGGGTGAGCTTGCTGATGACAATGTCATTTGTGGTCAGTGTGGTCTGGGCCTGAAAACCACAAGTAGCAAGAATGTCATCTCACAGAGCAAGAATATCTTCATTCATTCACTTAACAAATAAGAGTTAGAATTAACCAGATGAAAACAGGGAAAGGTTTTGTGGAAGGCCATTCCTGAGAGATTAAACAGCACTAAGGGTCAAAAGTGAATCTAGCACATTCAAGCAAGCCTGGATTATGAGAGAACAAACACCTGGGAAACATGGTGAAAAGAGGCTGGAAAGGCCAGAAGCTGCAGGGACTTGTGGGCTACGATAAAGATGTGTGCTCTTTATCCTAATAGTGAGGAACTATTGAAGAAAGCTTCTAAACTGGTGAGACTAAAATTCACCCTTGGCCAGGTGTAAAAATAATAATAGAAGAGAGGATAGTGAGACTATGGGGGGATGGAAATGTTTTAAAATTTACTGTGATGGTAGTTGCACAACTATGAATCTACTAAAGGCCACTGAATTGTACACTTTAAAGGGCAAACTGCATGGGATGTGAATTAATATCTCAGTAATAATTAAAAAGTAAATAAAATATTGTAAGAAAAAAGAGAAGTAGGAAAACCAATCAGGAGCCTCTTTTAATAGTTCCAGCAAGAGAAGATGGCTTAGATGGATGTCACTGGAGAAAAGGAAATGGATTCAATTGAGGCCAAAAATGGACAGGACCTGGGAATGGGTTAAATGTGGCAGAAGAGATCCAGGACAGAAGTGGAGATGATTCCCAGGTTTGAGGCTCAGGTCACTCACCTCCATAGTGGGACAATCCGCTTTGCTGCGGATAAGAGTGGTGGGGATGTCTGTGTCAGCATACTCATCATCGAGGTCTACCACGTAAGCCATGCGGCCTGGCAGAAAGAGCTCATTCCTCTCATACGCTTTGCTCTTGAAGAGCATGCGGTAAACGTTGCGGCCTACAAAGAGGAAGGGCAGCAAGGAGCCAGTGAGAACCTTTGTAACAGCTGCCATTGATTAGTAAGTGCTCACTCTGTACCAGCCACCTTGCCGCATGCTATGCATACTTTGCTTCATTCAAACTTCATAACAGCCCTGTGAGGTAGGCATCACTGTCTCCTTTTAACTGGTAAGAATACTGAGAGTTAAGTGATTTACCAATAGTCACACAGTTACCAAGAGACAGAACAAAGACTGGGACAAGCAGTCTAACTCCAAAGCCTGAGCTCCTATCCGCTCTTCTATATTGCCTTCCCAAGGGCACTGGGTGCCCAGCATGGCATTAGGCCCTGCGAGGAAGAAGGGTGAGGTTTAAGGTAATACTGATGATGATGGAGAAGCCAACTTTACCACATGTTCAATATGATAGGCCCACTGCATATATACACCCCAATAATCCCATTGGTGAATATTAACCCCATGTTTGTAGATGGATAAACAGGCACTAAAAAGTGAAATAACTGGCTAAAAATCACACTCCTAGTGTGGTTTCATCCTCAGGATTCAAATACAGGTCTCCCTGACTGCAGATTCTGAGCTTTTAATCACCAACCATGCTACCTCTCTTAATGCATGAGCCCCAGTCTGCGAGAGCTTCCAACCTGAAGAGACATTAATAACATACGAAATAATGAAGTCCAAATCTGAGTTCTACTGGACTATTTTATAGGAACTAGCTGGTTTGGGGGTAAGAAACAAAGGCAAGGGTGAGGGAAAGGGGAAGCCTATCCTGCCTGCAGCATTAAATTCCCTATATAAGAAGAAAACAAATCCTACCATTTACAACATGGATGGAGCTAGAGGGTATTATGCTCAGTGAAATAAGCCAGGCAGAGAAAGACAAGTACCAAATGATTTCACTCATCTGTGTAGTATAAGAACAAAAGAAAACTGAAGGAACAAAACAGCAGCAGAATCACAGAACCCAAGAATGGACTAACAGTTACCAAAGGGAAAGGGGACTGGGGAGGGTGGGAAGGGAGGGAGAAGTGAGGGGAACACGGGGAGGGCTGTGCAACACAGAGAAGACAAGCAGTGATTTTATAGCATCTTACTATACTGGACAGTGACTAATGGGGTATGTGGGGGGGACTTGGTGAAGGGGGAGTCTAGTAAACACAATGTTCCTCATGTAATTGTAGATTAATGATACCCAAAAAAAAAATTCCCTACAATACACACAGAACGCACAACCACTTGTGTAGAAATTGTACTCACCCAAACGTGTTTTAAATTCAATTTTATTCTCAGGATCTTCATCTTTCCTGAAAAGACAAAAATAATATTTTTGCTAAATGTGTTCCTACTTTAGGTCCCACCTTTCTAAACCCTCAATCTCTCCCCGATGTTTCCTTACTTGGTTTCCTTCTGGGGCTTTTCCATCAGTTCTTCTTCCTCTTTCTCTTTGCTGGCAATCTCAGCTCGTACCTAACAGAAAAGCAAGTAAGGGTTAGACACTGATTCATTTGATGCTTATTTACTGAACATCACTATACCGCACTGTACCAAGACTAAGAGCTCAGCACTAAATGAGACAACATAGTTCTTGCCCTAATGGAGCTCATAGCAGGAGAGACGAACAAACTCAAACAGCAAAGCGTGGTAACAGCTGTGATTCAGTAAAATAGAAGAGTTACACAAGAGTGCAGGAAGTGGGAGATGACAGAGTGGGGGGACATAACCATACCTGGGTGATCGGGGAAGGTTTCCCCAAGAAAATAAAACCAAGGCTGGGAGTTGCAGGATGAGTAGCAATTAGTCCTGCACAAAGGCTACCATTAGCCATTCTAGATGGTCTGAGCCAACAGCAGCCTCCCTCACCTCGAA